GCCACCGCCCACCGCCCGGGCCCTGCACCCAGCTCGCTCTCGCTGCCAGCCCCGGAGCTCGGCCCAGGCAGGGTACCCGTCTGGGCACCTTCCTTGCCCTGGTCCCCATACCGTGCCTCGTGGGTGGTCCCTGCGGAGCGCTACTGGGCACCATGGAAGTACCTGCTGGCCTGCTCTTTCCCAAGGCAACCTGCAAAGACGCTGTGGTACGACCGCCCGCGGTACGTCTACCTGGAGTTCTGTGTCGAGGACAGCACGGATGTTAAGGTTGTCATTGAGGACCAGCGGCTGGTGTTCAGGTGAGCCGCCAGTGCCCTCCGACTGCGGACACGGCCCTGAGCTGGGGGTGGTTCGGGGGACAGGGCACGTGTGGCCTCAGCCCTCTCCTAAGCCAGGGTGTTGTGGTGTTTTGGCAGTTGCAAGAACGCAGATGGTATGGAGTTCTACAACGAGATCAACCTGTATGCCAGGGTCAACTCCAAGGTGAGGCTCCCCCCCAGCAAACTTTCTCTGACAGCCCGTGTCAGGCTCAGAGTTTAACCTAGCCTGTGCAGTCTCGAGCAATGCCGCTTAGTGTTGAATCCTGCCCATTTCCCGAGAGCCTGAGTGGGGTGAGCACAAGCCTGGGAGCCCTGACCCTGGGCCTGGCACTCACAGTGCTGCCTTGGGCCAGAAACAACCTGTCTCCATCGTTCTGTGTCCCCCACAGCCCAAACATGGCTGAGCTTTAATCCTGTGTGTGTCTGCAGTGGATTACAGAGGGGGGTCCAGCAGACACTGAGGTGAGGCACCTCTGATCTCTTGGCAGGACTCACGGGAGAAGCGCTCTGACCGCTCCATCACGTGTTTTATGAGGAAGTGGAAGGAGAAAGTGGCCTGGCCCCGCATCACCAAGGAGAACATCAAGGTGTGTATGGCATCCAGCAGCCAGGACTAGCCTCAGCGCACGTGCTGTCCCCATGCAGCACCTCCCTGCTCCTGGGGACTGACCTGCCCCGGGACAGACACTGAGGGCCCCCCCGCAGGCATCCCAACACAGAGCTCCCAAAGAGCCCAGCCTGATGGTCACCTCCAGTCCACAGACCTCTGCCCCCCAGGCGGGATGTGGTACCCCTTCCCCCCGACACAAGCAGGCTCAGGACTGGCACCCGCAGGCAAAGGGACACACTCCCCTTCCCCAGCCCGCCTGGTCCTGCCGCCTGTGCGGGAGCAGCCTGTGCTTGCCCCACAGAGATCCCTCGGCTGTGAGGACAGGCTGCCTGGTCCCCTCCGTGCCGCCCCCGCCCTCAGGGGATGCTCTCTCTGCCCACAGCCAGCCTGGCTCTCCGTGGACTTTGACAACTGGCGAGACTGGGAAGGGGACGAGGAGGTGGAGAGGGCCATGGTGGAGCAGTACGCAGAGGTGAGCTGGGCCGCAGGCCTCGGAGGCCCAGGGTGCGTGTGGGGGGTGCTCGGGGTGGGGGGCAGCCGAGCACTCAGAGTTCCCACAGCCCTTTGTTTCTCGTCCAGCTCCTGGAGAAGGTGACGGCCTCGGAGTCCCAGGGTGCGTGTGGGGGGTGCTCGGGGTGGGGGGCAGCCGAGCACTCAGAGTTCCCACAGCCCTTTGTTTCTCGTCCAGCTCCTGGAGAAGGTGAC